CGCTCCTCCTCCTGCTTCCTCGCCGCAGCAGCCAGAGCAGCCTCACGTTCCTCCTCCTGCTTCCTCGCCGCAGCAGCCCGAACAGCCTCACCCTCCTCCTCCTGCTTCCTCGCCGCAGCGGCCAGAGCAGCCTCCCGTTGCGCCAAGCGCTCCGCGTCCTCGCGCTTCGCCTGCTCTCGCGCCTCCGCCTCTGCTATCTTCCCGGCAAGACCGTCGCACCACATCTCGTTCAACCTTTGGTACGCCATAAACTCGTCGTGGGGCAAGAGGATTAATCTGTCTTCCGGCGGGAGCGAGAAAGGAGGAACGAAAAGGGGGGAATCGGACGACAGATGGGCCGCTTCTACGATATCCTCCAGAGAGACACGTCCGGTGTTGTAGGCCCGCTCTAGTTCCGCCGGATCTGCTGTGGCGATGTCGTCCAGCAAATCATCGACGGTGAACAAACACCATGGACATGGGGGGGCTCTCGTCTTCTGCACCCGCCGCTGGAAACTGCTCTGCGGTGGGAGCCTCGCCCTCGGGTTCGTAGTCAAGGATTTCCACATTGTCGCCCAGGAGTTCCACTTTGCCGCTGGACATGGTGTCCTCTTTGTTAACAAGAGCAGGGCCAGAGAGAGGGTAGCTACGATCGATTTTGGAAAGGGCAGCAGGGCCAGAAACAGTAGATGTAGGATAACCAACCGCAGTTGAGGCAGCAGCACCAAGAGCAGCAGAAGCAGTAAAGCCGGGTGCAACTTCGGGAAGAGCAAGCCGAGGTCCATGCGAAAGGCGGAGATATCCACAAGATAGCATACGCCCAGTGATAAAAGCTTGGTGCACACGAGGTTGAAGCGGATCCAACCAAGCAGGAAAAGCGTCCAAAAGCACACCATGCCACTTACAAACAGCAGCAAAAGCTACCACAAAAGGGCCCGTGTTGCATGGAGACACGAGGATTTCCGACCAAAAGACACGCATAGCAGCACGGCGTTCCTCCGCAACTGGTGCCGAAGTGCGAGCAAAGACCGCTGTGGGTTTGCACTGTTGAAAGGTTTCCAATTCAAATGTATGAGGGTGAACGATTCCCCGAAAAAAAGTGCCATGTGATTTCGAAAGATGGAGGGAAGGCTGGTGGGGCCGCTGACACCCAATTTGTGTGCACACATCGCGTTCCAAGTCGATGCAAGCGGAGTCAAATCGGACAGCACAACAGGAAAATCCGCGGACATCGGCCGGTACGCCGGCATGAATGCAGTAGAGGTGGTAGCAGACGTGGGAAGCATGCTGTCATCTCGGGTCCCACTACACAAGGCCACCAACTCAGGACGCTCCATGCAGAGGGTATCCGCCACAGAAATCAGTTCATGGACCGCCGATGCAGACAAAACAGCTTTCGAGGAGCGGTGAATGTACGAGAAATCACCCAAAACATCGCGATGGCCTACAAGGCGCGTATCCTTTGCAAGGTCCCAGTCCCGCGGGCGCTTCGCAATAGCATCACAAGCCAGCATCTCTACAGGAGAGGAAGCAGAGAAGAGGCTAAGTCTAGATTCTCGTGGGTGGTGAGACCAAATAACAAGCAACCCGGTGGTTGTGAAAAATGCGTGGCAACAACACACAGCAGTGTGGAAGCCGCGTCCAGCACCCGCTTACCGTGTTATGCCAGCTGACGCCAAGTTTCAAGGAGTGATGCCGTGAGCGGTGGCTTGCTCCTAGAGATAGATGAAGGTTCTGTCGTTGACACGCTTGTCCACGACCACGTTGAGATGGGCAAACTGCTTGTTATTGCTGAGAGACGATCAGCAAAGGTCTGGGATGAAGTGGGGATAGGGGGGGGGGGGGGGGGGTGAGAGTATGTGTTGCGAAAAAGATGCGTTGGTGCCTACAAGTAGAGGAAGACCCCGGGCCTAGAGTAGAGTGCAACGTTTGGGGCCATACGGCACGGGGAGGAGAAAAATACGTGTGCCAAATCAAGGTGTGCAATGTTACTTCGGATCAAGCCGGGTGCCTTTAGCACCGGCGAGCGGGGGCTGAGGTTAGATATGTGCTGAATCCTACAGTAAAGGTAGAGGAGCCTGGGCCTAGAGTAGAGTGCAACGTTTGGAACCATCCGACATGGGAGGGGGG